GACATTTTATTATTATTACTTTTTAGTTTGTCTTTAGTTGTTTTTCCGTTACATTGGAGTATGACAGGTGAGGCTCTGCCTCCCCTGCCTCCCCTGACCGCACGTCGCTGGTCTGTATGCTCTACTGTGATATATAGCTATGTATTGTATGTGGTGATTAAAGAGGACATATTATGTTCGTTTTTAGGTTCTTTTTTTTTTTGCATCTGCTGTTTACATGCTTTATTTTTCTCATACTGCCTGTGCAGCAGCACCTCTTTTCACCCTCTGTCTGAAACCAGAGCCCAGTCTGCTCCGGCACTTATTACCCCAGGGCACTAAGTACCAATCGTGTTCACACCGGAGTACTTTTCCCTGAGGGAGATTGCGCAAATGAGCCGCTGACGTCACTCCGTCTTCTTCTGCTCTGGGTTTACTGGCAGGCTGCAAACAACTTCACAGCGTATACTGCCGCCCGAAGTCCCCGGCTGGAAGTCCCCGGAGTTGGGGACTGGCTTCAGTAGAAGCTGCTGGGACTCCCAGCAGCTTCTACTGAAGCCTTCCGAGTAAATTGCCAGAACGCCGACACCTCCTCATCTCCACCGCTCCCATATTTTTGTTTGTGTTGCCATAAGTTATTCTCTCTCCGTTGGTAAGCGGGGCTAATGCTAATAATGCAAATGCCAGCAAATGCAAATGCCAGCAAATACAATGGCGGCTTCATAAAACTTTTCAGAGTTTTACAGGACGTGGTTTGCAAACCGCCCAGCCAATAGAAATTGGTACTTTTTCCTCCCCAGGAAAGTACCACCTCTCTAGCAGGCACTAAAAATGGGGGTAAAAGTTCCTGGCACTAAGCACTCTTTTTGGTTTGAACGCAAAATAAGAGGTACTAACGGAACCAAACGGAAAAAGTACTCCGGTGTGAACGCGCCTAATGGGATTTTAGCCTCTGACCATTTATGTAAATAACACCTATAAACACACAGTGGAAAAAGGAAAACCCAAAAAAGCATAATAAAGCCCTTACTATTAATTATGATTTTATACTTCAAGTTTGTCTTTTTCTTAGATGCAAATACTTAATCTCAATAGGGTTTTTGCCATTTTTAAGTTGCAATAATGTATTATTCTATATCAAGCATGTTCAAAAAGTTGTGTTAGAGTTTTGCTTTATCTACAGTTTAGAAGTTTTACAGTTTGATCTCAAGGGAGAAGTGTTGAACATTATTAGTTGATATTATATATTCAATATTTACACTACATTTTCAGAGCGACTCTTAGCTTTGTTCCTTTTGTAGACTTGAAATACTTAAGACTGCCTCAAGGTAACTGAATTGAACAGAACAAAGGTCGGCACACATGCATATTAAGAGTTTTTTACAACATTTTACTTTTACCCTATAAAATGTGTGTGTGTGTGTGTGTGTGTGTGTGTGTGTGTGTGTGTGTGTGTGTGTGTGTGTGTGTGTGTGTGTGTGTGTGTGTGTGTGTGTGTGTGTGTGTGTGTGTTATGGCATGGCTGACTGACTGGCCCTCTGGAGATGTCACGCGGAGCTGAGAAGCACAGCACACGGAGTCCATCTCAACCCTGTGACTGAGTATGGATCAGAGGTTCTCGCTGTGCTTATGAGCATGAAATAAAATGAGGTATTTTATGATCGTGTCGGATCCAGTCTAGCACAAATCCTAGTTTTGGCTAGCGAGGAACATTTCCAAAAATTATTGGCAGCCTGAAGGAGAAAATGTGTTGGAGTGCATAAGTGCCTGTGTCCACAGTAACGCGCCTTGATTTGCCAGACTATGTGGCTTGACAAATCAGCTATATTATGTTTTTTTCACTACATTATGTTATCTTTTTCAGGATAAAGGGATCATTAGGGGGCCAGCTGCAGACAGTAAACATGACCACACAGCTTTCATCTATGTGCCCATGCTGATTTATATCTCTACATTGAGTCCATCCATTACATTTTAATCCATCTGAGACAGTTCAGGGTTAGGTCACCTTGTGCTGGATTAGAAAACCACAGAGATAATTGAAAAAAAAGCTGCAAAAAACCTTGACATACTTGGATGTACGAGTGAAATACAGGATGGTTATGCTGGGCAATTTAAGCAAAAATTATATTTGATTCAAAAAACGTATTCAACCTTTCTTTGAAAAGACCCACCCATCCGCCCATACAGGATCACATGTCTACAGTTTTATTTGCTCAGAATGTATTCATTCAATGTTTATCCAATTTAAACAGTAGCATTTTCTCTGTGCTGTAGCAAATGCTATGTTGTCTTTGTGTGGAAAAAGCCAGAAGTGTACTGTGTGTGTGCTGTGGTAATTCCTTCTCCTCGCTTACACAGTTGTTTGTTTCCTCCACTTTTCACACCGAAAAAGGAAAGTACCCATTGTACAAGATAACGTGATATTTGCATAAACAAGTATATGTTTTTGATTTAATGATATCCAAAAATTTCCATATATGACATGATACATTTCTCTACCACTAAAATCAGACAGGAAGTAGCAACAAAACAACAATGACAAACTACGAAAATATACATGTACTTGTTCGAGACAAATAAGAACATCTATACCAAATACTCAACACACCGTGCCAACATTTACACTGGGCAAGCTCCACGACTAACTTCACAAAGCACCTTCAGATATTACCAGGACAGACAGACAATGGAGACAAATGAATGACCAGAAAATCAACAGATAGAAAAATTGATGGAGGGATGGTTGGATAGCCAAAGGAGAGAATGAGGAATGTTTATACAAAAAAGAAACAGAAACGATATTTCTTTAAATGGCAAATAAGTCATTATTTACTTTGTTACTTAAGACTGATTCTATTTTTTAAAGAATGCAACTTGTCTCTAAGTGTTTTCAGTTAAAGCATGTAATTTAATGTTATGTATATTGATGTAGTTTTATTTTAATTTTATTGCCAGTAATCCAATTTAGAATCTTTATAACGCCATGTAAAATGGGTGACGATACATATGGGAACTGTCATGAGGTCATTAACATCTGACATTGGTGTCATATAGAGAAGATGGAAAGAGTCAGTGAATGAGACAGGTTAGATAGATAGATAGACAGAATGTATGTGTATAAATAAATAGTTGGATTACTTTGTCATTCTTTGCTCGGCTTGATTTTGATTCCACACAAGGAATTCTGGGTCGTACCTATCGAGGGGGGACAGGCAGAGAGAAACAAGAGAGGTATATGTTGGCTGTCTGGCAAGAAATTATTCAATAACCGTCATAAAAGTAATGATCAGTAAATATAAATCAATATATAGCCACTACACTATCTTTCTCTCTCAACATTTGGTTATCAGGCAATGGTGGAGGAGGTGGGCTGGTGAGGCGCATGCATTTAGAGCGGGTGGTGAGGAGATGGTGGGTATGTTAGTTAAAGAGAGGGTCCTAGGATACAAACAGACCATTTTAGAGCCAATTATCAAAATACCTTTAGTGCTATTAATGCTAATCGCTCAGACATGTCATACTGTTTTGAGCAATACATCAAGTTACTATGAGATTGGCATGTTTGCAACCGTGCTGGTGACTATAGATGACAAAATCCTTAAAGTGTATTTTATTAAAAAATGTTTGTGTCATTGAAAATGACTAGCTTTATCTCAGAAAAGCACGGCTGAACGACTAAGCTAAATGGTGAGTAAATGACAAGCTAAGCTGTTACGCCTGTAGGGTAAATTTAGACAGGATACAAAATATCTACATTTGCTATATTTTGAAAATCAACTGAGAATTATCTATGAAATGGTTGGTTACCTGAACATGTTTGTATTTAAAAAATGATCACTAATTTCATATTAAGGTCATTTGTTAATTGTCAGTAAAAGTTCAGTTTTCTTAATCTGCTTTTGTTTTTGATATATCACACACCCATAAATTACACATAGATCATGCCTAAGGCATGCAGGCATAATCTAATATGAATATGGTGTTAGTGTTAAGAACTACATTGACCAATTGGTAAATCTCTGTTTGTTTAGAGGTTGGTTGTAGTCTTTTTTCTTTTTGTCACAAATCCTATAATAAGACCAAAACCAACAAAGGATTTAATTGACAAGTATTTATTTTATAATCCAAACTGATATAGCTTGTTACCACAACAGTGCAGAGGAGGTTTTGAGTAGTTTGCCAGGTGTTTATATTTCTCTCTGTCTGTCTGTGGACAGAATTTGTCTCCGGGACCCTATCATGGTTTGAGTTTGAAATGGGCGTAGTCCAAGCATGGTGGATGAAGGGACCATTGGCTGGCACTTAATGCCAGTGCACTAACTTGGTGTCAAAAAAACTTTACAAGTGTGTAGTTGAGAGACAAAGAAAGCCCAGTTCGAACATGGGTGTGCTCCGAGCTAGGGCCTGGAAATAAAATGCCCTCCTGCTTTAAGTAGAGCAATGTTTTTGTTGAACTTTTTTCAATCATATAGCCATGATAAACTATTTTTTCCACCAAGGACAATCTCAAAACAATATTGATAGGGAAAAAGGGGTATAAGTACGCCCATTTGAGATGGACTGGAATAGAGTACCAAGTGGGCAATAACTTTCAACTTAAAATAGTCCCCAAAAAACTGCTATGATGGAATTATACATTTCGTAGGAATACATGGTATAGGGTCTGATAAAGACATAGGAAAGCCAGAATATTGAAAGATGGACTCACATAACATCGTTAGTTTTGGTCTCTTGAAACTGTTACATTTGACTAATGCAGAAACCCAATGTTCATATATAAGTTAATATATATATATATGTTTTAATCTTGAGGGACCCTCCCTTCAACATAATATGGACAAATAGCATGTTTTCATTCCTACAGTGGAAGCACTGCACGTTATGAAGGTAAAGCACAATGGCATGCATCAGAAATCAGTCCTTTGAATGTAGCAGTGCAGATATGTTGATGCTGGAAGCTACACAACAATGATGCTGAAGCTCAAGATTGAACAAACAGACAATGTGGGTGCAATGTGCACAGAGAAATAAACACTTGGACAATGAGTGAAGGAAAGAGCCATGGCAACTACAACAAAGTCACCTATCCTAATGACACAGAAACATTTCTTTATGCTTCCAAATGTGAACATATAATAAGCCGTTCAGCACAAAGTGACTTCGTCCTTGGAAATATGACATTTTAGAAGAAAAAAAAAATGTCTGCTTAAACCTGAGCTGAAATATCACAAAGAGAGACACTTCAACTTTAATTAGGCTGCTTATATCTGTGACAGCATGTCTGTGCAGTCATAGGACAGAAAAAAAAGACTAAGAAAGAAAAATCCATGACACAATTGGAATAGTATATCAAACTTGATTATAACTAGGACAAAAGAATGATACAAAATCTACTAAAGCGGCTCTGTATACATCTCTCTGTTGCTCTTTTTTCGTCTATCTGTCACTGTCTCTCTCTCTTTCTTTCCCTCATTCTCAAACACCCACTTTCGTTCTCTTGGTCTCAAAGCAGACTCCATGCACTTCCCGCATTAACGGTGTCTGCCTAATACACAGAACGTTACTGATTGCACTGAGACACTCCACTCCAAACTTTTAAATTGGACCAAAAGGTGTGCGCAGGAATTTGTACGGCAGTGTGAACAAACCCCGACACCAGGTAAACTAGAGAGGACAGTGAAAGATGTGGCGAGATGTGTGCCTTATACTAAAGCCCAGATTCAACCAGCCTTTTACCGGAATGGACCGTCAAATTCAGACAGTCAATTATCTGTTGAAGTGTTACAAACTGCAGTCACCATGCTACAAATTTAAACTTTGACACTCTTCAATTATAAAGCTTAATGTGTATATAATTATGTTTAAACCGGTGAATCTGGCCCTCAGTAAGTTCAGTGAAAGTGGAAAGGGAGCGGAACAAACGGGCTTCATCATCAAGTCAGAGCTGATTGGACATTTGTCTTTTTGTTCTCACCTTGGGTCCTTCTGGATGCTGTCCACCGATGGAGACCGGCCTAGGGTGGCCTCAGGGGCGAGTGCTGGGCCCGACTTGCTGTAAGGCGATTCGGTGGATGGGCAGAACTGCAGAGTGCGGTACGGGTTTCCATAGTCAGCAGCCCCACCTCCTGCGGCAAAGCTGCCTCTCTGAAAGGTTCCCGCGGCGCTCTGGCTTCCTGTTCGCTGCAAGGGGATTGGGTCGACACCAGGGGAAGACGGGGCTAAAGCAGGAAGTGGAGAGTAGGGAAAGATCAGATAGTTGAGGACATCTTGGTACAATTGGTTTGCCACTGGTTTTGATGTAGCCGAGGATGGGCGGGGTGAGGGGGAAAAAAGAAATCGGAAAACAAGTGCCACCACAAGGATGCAAGTACAAAACGATACAATGAGAAAAAGCAACAACACCAATGAAAAATAACAGAAAAGAAAAAAAGTGAGGAATCAAAATAATAAAAAGAACTCGAACGTAAAGACAAATGTCAAACTACAGTGACAACTTAAAGCAACATTATATACCTAATAAAACTTAAAAACAGCTTAAATTGTCAAAACATTTTGATGCTACACTGACTTCCTTTGATCAATGAGGTTTCCTGATAGTTTCCGGACAGAAGGCTTTAGTTGTTGCTAATTGCTAATAGCTGCTAACAGTAGCTGTAATAAGCTAGTGTTAGCTTGATGAGGGAAGTCGCCAGGAATTGGAGCACTGAGCCCTATTGTGTTAACAACGATTGCTAAGGAGATCTCTAGACCAGTGGTTCTCAACTGGTCGGGCCTCGGGACCCACCTTTTCCTTTGTCAATAAATCGCGACCCGAAATTTTGAACCACTGAAATCTATTCAAGAAAAAATTGCGCTGTAATATATACGCCTTTCAGCATACAATATTAATTAAAGTGAAGTACAGTGCATGTATCCCTTATATCCCTTCACAGAACTAAAGAATGCTTTTAAAACAGGTTTAATGAGATGATGGAATCAAAGCTGAACTGTAACACAAAAAGGCACACATGCTGAAAACCCATCCCCAGCAGGGGGTCTGGGGGGATTCTCCCCCAGGAGATTTTTTGAAATACTAACATATAAACTACGTATTCTGGTACGCTCTGAGAAGAAAATAAATAAATGTATTACTACCCGACATTTTAATAATATTTGATGCCATTGTTTGTTTTTCACTTTGTTCTGACGGCTGAACTTGCTGCTCCACACAGAGAGAAGAGTAAAGAGGAGATAGTCTGTGTGAATTACTTTAAATTGTGGGTAAGGGTAGATAGCTCCCATTGTTTCTGTGACCTGTCAATCATCAAACCGGGGGTCATATTTCATTATGTGTTCATTTTTATCTGAAGTTGTACCCATGGATGTATAAAGAAGAGTGTTGTGTGTAACGCGTTACAAAAGTAACAGAGTTACAGGAATGTATTACTTTTTGCTGTAACGAAGTAATGTAACGCATTACTAATGAAATGTGGGTAATATACTACCCGTTACAATTCTCAGCAACGCAGTTGCAACTAATTTTATCCCGGAATGAAATGGTGTTTTGTTTTTAAGAATTCACTAACATCGCGAGACATTCCGACACCAGAGAAAAATTGTGTCGGTAGATTAGTAATGCTGCGTTCACACCGGACGAGATGCGAATTTTTTGCGGCGGATTACATGTAAAGTCAGCAGAGAGGACAGATGCGAATTCGCTCCGACGCGCGCACGAAGCGTGGACGCGTGCGAATCACGCAACTTGAGGCGATTGAAGGGGCCGCGTCGAGCGTCAAATTCACGTGACGCGTCTCACGAAAGCCAATCAGCGTTGATCCCTCAATGACGTCCTCTCGAGCGTCTGGCTGCTTGATCAGGTTGTCAAAGATTTGAGGGCCGCGTGAGATTACGATACAAATGGNTGTCTTGTCCAGATCATTCTTTGGTTTTCTGTCTGCGTTGTGTCTTGTCTAGATCTGTCTTTGGTTTTCCGTCTGCGTTGTGTTTTGTCTTGTTTAAATCTGTCTGTGGTTCCCTGTCGTTAGTTTCCCTGGTGTGTCTAATTTACCCGATTGTGTTCACCTGGTGTCCCTGTGTTTTCTCCTCAGCTGTGTCTTGTTTGTATGATTAGTCTTGTCTGTATTTAAGTTCTGGTTTTTCTATCTGTCTTTGTTGGTTCGTCTTGAGATATGGCTTGTTCCTCGGCGAGTGTTCTGTTCAGTCTTAGTTAAGAGTTTAGCCTTGAAATAAAGGAGTTATTTTGTCACTTTAATCTGCATTTGGGTCCTGCTTCCTTCACACACCGTAACAAAATCATTGTTATCCTATGGTGAAGAATGCCTGGCGTGGGGTTTTCTGACACGCCGATAGAGATATATATTCTAAAATTATTATTATTAACTTTCCAGTCCAAGGCTCAAAATCCCACCGAACGACAATGTCGAACATGGCCAAGGAAGCAAATCAAATCAAGGAAGAGGCGGTTTTTTTTACAAACCCTTTCCTGTTTTGCTGCAGGTAAGGAGACCATCTGATTTTAAGCTTGATGATGTAAGGCGCAAAAATATGTAATCATTTTTTATATTATTAGTCCAAATGCACAAGGAACCACCCTCTTCGAAGGCCTTTTTTGAAGCTTTTGTACCTTTTGCGATGCATCTCTGTGTGATCGCGGCCTAATAGAATAAATCAAGCATGCAATTCTATAACTTCATCTGCATCAAGTGCTAGGAGACCGAACAGGCAGTGAGCCGCATACATATCCCTCTGCATCCCATCTATTATTATTCAGGCATCTCAAGGGCGAAAACAATCTGGCCTGTGGGTTGCATTCTGCCAGCCCTGCTCTTTAATACTACTATTCTTCTACGGCATTTTCAACATCAGTCTTCTGTCTCATCCGTCTCTCTGTCTGCTCTATTTTTATTGCCTGTTGGCCGACTGTTGTTTGAAGTACTCTGTTTGCCCTCAAATCCATCGTCTCCATGGGGATTAATAAAGAGGAATTGAGCTGAATGGAGTTGACATTGAAGAGACAGACAGAACAGTTTTGTGAGTGATGACAGCTCTAAAGGACAGAAGGATAGACGCTGCACTCTGAGTTTGGTTAAGTGTGCGTAATGGTGCGTTTGGTGGCGCACAGACAGCTGCTCACGTGGGACTGAGTTTCCTCTCAATGAAGACGTGTCGAAACTTTTATTATTGATGAAAGAGCCTGTTGAAATGAGCCATACTTACAACCTGCCTGCTCAATGTTTGGTCATTAACAATGTGTTAAAGGGGCCTTTGTGATCCTTTCCTGTAGTGCGTTATATAGATTGTTGTGAATGTGAATGGTCTGCAAAGGCTTAAGTCCGAAGGTCTGTGACGTAATGACTTCAAGTTATACTCGCGCTTCTATTGTCTAGCCCTCCAACACTTTGTAGTTGATAGGCTCAGGGGTGGGAGATCTCTAAGCGGTTGACCAATCACAAAAGAGCAGGCCAGCTAACTAATCAGAGCAGACTGGGCTCTGGTTTCAGACAGTGGGTGAAAAGAGGTGCTGCAGCCCAGGCAGTATGAGAAAAATAAAGCGCATTAAAGCATGTAAATATGTCACAGTAGAGGCTCAACAGACAAATATGAACCTGAAAATGAGCAGAATAGGGCCCCTTTAAGCTTTGTTGGTTATTCTGAAAGAACAAAGACATTCAAAGAAATGGGCTTCTTGATCTCCCTAGCCAAATTAGTCTAAATATCACCAAAACATTTTGTGTATTTTTGACATTTTTGGTAAAATATACTCTCTACATTCCTGGATTGTTCTCTGTTATGATATAATTGGGACTAGTTTGCGGACCTAGCAGCAAAAGGCACTGTGGAAAGATAGGTTTACTTCTCCGTTGGTCTGTAGCATGACCATTAAAAACATTTTCAGGCGAGCACACACTCACCACTCACTTTTTGTTAAGAACTCTTGTCCCCTGGAATCTTGCCAGTGGTACTCAAAGTACTGAAAAATCCCACTTTGAAAAACTCAACAGCAGCATCCTGTACCTTTCCAGAAATTATGTTCAGCTTCTAAAACCTCAGCAGAAAAATCCAACACTGCAGTATCTGCATTGCTATCTGCATGTTAGAGAAAATAATGAGACGTTTGTTTTTGTATGTGTTTTAGATTAAACAGAAATGATTACCTCAGATTTGATCTTGTTGTCTCCAAAGCAGAGGTGCTGGAGGTAAGCAGCAGCGTTGGACTGGACTGATGGGAACTGATGCTGCAACATCTGAATCACCTCTGGAAGCTCTGGATCCCTCCAGCCAAACTCCCTGAAGAGACACAAGGAAAAGACAGTGTTGTGAAATGTGCAGAGATATAATAGTGTGTGTGTATGCATGTAGATGAACCTGTTAGGCAAATTTTCTAGCTAGTGGATGCCTGATTTAAAATGCTCACCAAAGAAATAGACAGAAAGAGAGAGGAGATTTCTGGTTGGAGCAGAGTAAAACTAATAGGAAGGAAAACAACAACAAAGAAAAAATAAATACTTATTGAATACACAGATTTGTACTGGACTGAGAGAAGTAACTCAATGTCTTGTCTTTTTAGGCCAAACCAACAGCTGTGTTTGGGCCTTTCCCTGTTTCAACATGACAATGTCGCCATATGCAAAGCCTGCTCCATATGGTTTTCCAATTACTGTATATAGTAGTTGAGTGTTGAAGGACTGGCCTGTCCTGATTTGAACCCTCATCCAACACCTTTGGGATGAACTGGAATGCTGACTGGAAGCAAGGCCTTATCATCCAACATCACTAATGCTCTTACCGGGGTTATAAAGCCTTTTCAGGGAAATAACAGTGCCAAGGAAACTGAAACCAGTTCTGTTCTACAAGTTAGAAAAACTCTTTGAAAATCTAATCAACATTTGTTGATATGCCAATAACTCAAAATACAGTTTTGGAACACTTCATATGTTTTCATATATATTTAAAACAAACAAAATGAACCTTTATTTCATATTTCTAGTATAGCGATCTTACACAAATACAATTTCCCAAAAGCTCTTAAGGGTCACAGTTTCACATTATATCCCACCCATATTTTATCATAGGTTTCATACAGCTCAGGTCAGAAGAATTTCATTGCCATTTCTACACTGTAGCTTATGTGCAGAAGACAATAAAACCTTTGAATACATAGTAAGTGCTTGCCATAGTTGGTATTGCACTAATATTTAAGGTACAAGTCTGGTCGTATGCGTTATTATAGGAAGGTTTATAACAAGAGTAAAGGGTCGCTCCTTTTTACTGCCCGAGCTGCTTAGGTTTCAGCGTGTAACAAAGGTCTATCACAGCTTTTGCTTTAAGGCATGCTTTAGGCGCACACACACACACACACACACACACTAAGCTGACTAACCCTACACATGTGTGTAAGAGTGTGTGTGAAGAAAGAAGCACAGTTGATTATCGTGAGAAAGATGTGATGTGAGAGTGAATCGAGGTAAGGGATCAGAGAGAGGGAGAAGAGGGGGTGGGGCTTATCGATGTAGATTATCTGTCGCCAACAGCAATGAAATATCTTGTTTCCTTGACTGTGAAGGTTTCTAGGGACCAACTAAAAGTGAAGCCGGATATTTCTTTCTCTTTTTTCGTTGTCTAGTTAACGTTGTCTTCTATAAATCTGAAGAATGTGGGAGATGATACTTCCTGAATATCAAGGTGAGACGCTCAAGACAAGAACAAAAGCAACTTTGAGAGTTACGGCTTATTTTAGCAAAAAAGTATTCATAACTTTCATAATTTTCTTTTGTGCCTCTACTGTGACATGTTTAGATGCTTAATGTTCAAAAACATTTTCATTTTTCTCTTACTCTCTTGTTGAGATCTTCATAGTATGTTGAATACTAATAACGAAAGTTAGTTATAATCAAATATAATCAATTATATTCTTGTATAACCCACAATGAAAATGCTTCATATTTGAGGTTTTTCTATATTTACAGTATAAACAAAACACAAGTGGTTTGTTAAATTTGTTAAATTGAGTGTAAGGCCTATAATGATTTATGCCCTACTCTCTGATAAGAGAGTAGGCAGTTTCTTCCCTCTCCTCTCACAGCAGTACACAGGGAGGGGGGCTCCGGACATAAGGAGAAATACATGGAGGCCTCAAAAAGGTGGTTATGTCATAGCCAAGATTAATATTTTGCAAATCCTGCAGGGGTCATGTCCTTTTTACACAAACATGGGAAGGTGTGTCTTATGCCATAGCCAATAGAATATGTCTGGTCATGTCCAGTCCTGTACATCAGAGGCCATGCCCAGTTTTCCACAAATATGGGTGTGGAGGAGGTGTTTTTGGGGTTTTCTATCCGGTTTTTTGAGCATAAAGAGACTTTCTTTTTGGGAGCAAGCAGAGAGAGAGGGGGGTTCCCCTGCTATACTCTCTCCCGGTAGGCTCTGGGACTCAGAGCTGGGTTAATAGCTCTCGGTAAGGTTCTCTCAAACTTGGTACATATCTCTTGATTTTCTTTGTTGAAAGTTGAGTGAATTACTTTGTGAATGAGTGGAATGAATTGAGATGTGTTTGTGAGTATTAGTAACCGCTACCTGTGAGAATCTTCCTCCGAATACCTGCGGGAGATAGGTATGTTTTTGTGAATGTTAGTACCCGCCATCTGTGTCGGAAAAAAGGTATGGAATTGATGTGAATTGATTTGGTGAATGAAAAGTTGAATGTGCTTTTTATTATCACCGGTCTTTTATGAGGAAATGCCTCTAAATTCTATCGGGAGATTTAAAAATCACAACTGAATTGGGCAGTTGAAATTATAATTTTGGTAATAAA